TCTGGGGTCACACAGAAATAACAGCATTTTTGTCACATGGTCAGATATTGCCTTGTTTTATTAAGTTAATGTGAGACTTGGCTAAAAAAAAATAATAATTTGAGTTCTATAGGCCTCACTTAAATCCATATCATTATTTTATAGACTAAGCACAGCTCCATAAAGCAATGGAGGCTTCTGTACTTTTAGATTTAGGTTTGGGGAATCTGAAGATCTCATGTGAGGCTGGAGAAGGGTCCATCTCTCTCCAGCTTCCCGGCTACCAATATCTCAAATCCCCCTGTGGTTGACAATCACAGATCCATCCATTGAGTCCTAGCTTCCAATGCCTTCTGAGAACCACACTTAGAATGTCTTTTTCACTAGTAAGGATAGAAACTCCAATAGGGGACAAGTCATATCTTGTATCCTAACGTGACCCCTCCCTCCCCACAGGATCCAGTCCTCCACTGAGCACACAGTCGGAACCTGATTGCACATAGTAACTAGAAAGTGGTGGATCCCCACAAGGCTGTGGAAGAAGCTTGATCAGGGGTAGGGCAGTACATGACCCAGCGCACAAAGGATGACATCAGATGCCCAGGGTTGAACTTCCCTTACACAAAGTCAGATGATCTTATATGACTCGTTTCCACAAGGAGTCAAGCACTTCCACCCACAGCACCTACCGCTCACATTCTGTTCCTGGAAGTCATTCTACTGAAACAGGTGTGATCTTTATCTCAGTTCAAATCCTGGATCTAAGTGTCGGTTCCTGAAGGAAAAGGAACAGGGAGGCTTATTTTGCTGGGGGGGGGGGGGAGAGGACTTCCTAAAACTTCTATTTACAAACACAGCACTCCAAGGCCAGGAAATAACAGAGTGCCTCTTGTTGACACAAGAGTTGGCTAACCTCATTCTTAAGAATGAGCTACCCTGTCACTTGAGATAAATGAGTTAATGATGAGGTGTTTTAGCCATCAAGGTGGATCTCCATGAATAGCCTTGGGGTCAAGAAGACTCATGTGACAACCAACCAAGAAGGAAGAAAAGAACAAATAAACCTTGTAGTTTGGAAACAAGACAGACAAGGGTTTGAAAACTGGCTCTGACATTTGGTTTTCTGAGCCTTCATGTCCTTAGTAAGAAAATGAGGGGAAATGATATTTTCATTAAATGATTATAAGAGATGGAATAATAGTGGCTAATACCTGATGTGTTCTGCTTTTGTGCTGGACACTGATTTAACGTGCTTTAAAATGAGTCATCTTCATTTCAACATCATGAGGCAGATAGTGTCACAGCCTCCAGTTCATAGAGAAGGACACTGAGACGTGACAAGGTTATATTATATGTCTAAGGCCCGCACCTTCAATGGCAGAACCTAGGTTGAAAACCACGGGCTCAGTCTTCACAGCTGGGTTGATATGCTCATGAAAACTTCTGGACAAAGGCTCAGGGCAAACAGAGATGCTAAGCAGAGGAATGCATGAGAACAGCTAAGGGGCCTGCAAAGGGGAGCACACAACCTTCATTTCCTACCTTTATGGTATTCAGAACCCACCCACTACCCTATGACAGATATAAGGTCTCTGAAAGACATGGTTCTCCAAATTACCTCAAAGTTGTCCTTTTTCTGGCCCCTTCCACATCTATCCAGGCTACTCCATACAATGACACACCCTGCCTCGTTCAAAAAACTCTCAATCATTCACAACCAAAGGCCTAAAAATCACTCACCCTTCTACTCTACAGATTACTCTACAGATTCAATTCTCTCGCCCTAGAGCAAGGTCTCTACTTTGCCAGACGTCTTCCTTCCCTCTCTTCAAGTGCAGTGCTGGGCTTAGAACTCAAGTCTTGAGCTTGTTGCCAGGTACTCTGTCACTGAGCTACATCCTCAGCCTTCTTTTTCTTTGTCTGAAAGTCCTAACCTACGTGTGTCTTGGAGCCAACAAGCTCTGGAATCCTGATCACTATTTCTGGGGCATCCATGGGAATTCTTGGTGCTGCATACTGACAAGATGATGAGAAGAAATATGCCCCCCCTCAACTCCTCAGCCATGTAAAGCAAACCAGACAGCACATATGTTGTGCTGTATTATGGCTGGCCCAGCCTTAAAGAGAAGACAAAGCTGTGGTGACCATAAAGTCACAGAGTATGACTGCCCAAGCAGGGATTCTTCTGTGTAAATAAGGAGGGGTGTTTTGACTATGAGCTGTAGGGTTTTTTAAAAATAAAGACAAGGAATAGGGAGATGGTGTGGTGTTAGGTCTCAAATCCAGACAAAGTGGACCTGGCCACCATGTTCTCCAGCATCTCAAGGTGGAAATCTCTAGCACTGAAACCACTCACTCTGCTGAAGAGGCTCTGTCCTGAAAAGGACCCATTTGGCCAACATGTCAACTTGTTTGCTCCCAATTCCCTACTTCTGAAGATTAAACCAAGCACAATTTCTTCCTTCTGACAAAGTAACTTGATCACCATAATTTGGGATATCCAGACCCAGAGTGGAGGGAAGAAGGATCCCAGACCAAGAGAGCAAAGGCACTGTTTTCACTATCAGCAGGACAAAGGAGAAGAGGTCCCTACAAGACCTGCAAGTGGTGGTGGAATAGCTGCCCTAATCAAGAAGGAGAATGGTTTCATCAGCAGGGCTAGCAGATTTGTGGGTAACAGCATGGGCTGAAGGCAAGCCCTGTTTGGACCACAGTAAGTCCCTTTAAAGGAGCCTGGGTTGAGGCATAGACACATTGAGAAAGGCCCCAATATCCAGACTAGGCTGAACTCACATAGGTAACACAGCAAGCTTCTCAAGTTAGCACCTAAAAACACTTTAGGTCAGACATTATCCTTCATGACCTCCTTTTTAAAAATCTTGTAATTCAAAGCCTGTAGGCTTCAGCCCGTTAGGAGAGCAGAGAAAGATGGAATTGCCATATAGAGGCTATTCTTAAAAGACCCAGGTTCAAAAAGGATGCTGTTCCAGGCTCCTAGGAAAACTCAAACACCATGAAATGCTCTTGTAAAATATAGTCTAGATTTGTCAGATCTGCCACAGTGGAAATCAAGAAAGGCACTATAAACCAAAACATGATAGGTAGAAACTCTCTTTCCTTATATTTAATGACTGTCCTAGTCATTGTTCCACTGCTGTGAAGAGACACCATGACCAAAGCAACTCTTATAAAAGTATTTAGTTGGGGGCTTGCTTACAGCTTTAGAGATTTAGTCCATTATCATCATGGTGGGGATAGCAGCACATCATGAGCTGGAGCAATAGTTGAGAGCTACAATCTGACTCGCAGGCCAAGAGGAAACATTGGACTTAGCATGGGCTTTTGAAACCTCAAAGCCCACCCCCCAAGTGACATACTTCTTCCAACAAGGCCACACTTACTAATCCTTCTAGTCTTTTCAAATAACACCACTCCCTGGTGACTAAACATTCAAATACATGAGCCTATGGGGCCATTCTTATTTAAGCCACCACAACAACACAGCTCTCCCTATAGGAAACCAAACCCCTAACCATCACAAAATGATATGTGCTATCAAAGACTCCAAAAGCAAGATACCTGAACACCAATCCTTGCTTCTGGAGAGCGCCTCAAAACTTAAACATTTCCTTGAGAAACAAAATAATTTAAGCAATGAAATTATCAGATCAGATGATGAGAAAGGAAAATAATTGTTTGAGAAAACAAAAAAGGTGTCATATAAAAATGAGCATTTATAGTCTTATTAAATTAAGAAGTCATGCTCAAAACCTTCCCCCTCTAGCTCCCAAAACAGGAAAACCAGAGGATAGAGAGATGGATGAGCAGTTAGGAGCACTTACTCCGCTCATACAAGACCCCAGTTCAGTTCCTAGCACCCATATTCAGCAGCTTACAACTGCCAGGTCCTCTAGCTACAGGGGGATAGACATCTGTGACCTCTGCAAGTGCCTGCCCTCACGAGCATGCATCCACACACAGATACACAATTAGATACACAAAAAAATAAAAATAAGATGTTTTAGAAAATCAATACTGAATGTCTCTGCCTTTTTTTTTTTTAAACAACAACTGAAGTTAGAGGCAGACTCATTAGGTCTGACTTGCTTCTGTTGCTCATGTAGGTGGCCCTCTTCTGAGAACTGTACCACCAAGGTAGTAGCTTTTATTTTTGATGGCTACTTAAAATTCACATCAAAATAACAAACTGTGAACATTTAAAAGTACATGTAAGTTAGGTGTATACTCAGGCTCCAAGGGTGAAATGCACTTTCATTTGGCCGGAATTCTAAGAGAAGAGTAAATGACTTTTGTTTTATTTTGTTTTAGGATTATTTTTGTTTGTTTTACAATTTGTTTAATTCTCAATGTACTTTTGAAAACCAATTTCTGCAGAAAACAAACAAACAACAAACCTGGTTCTTGCTGCATCTTATAAAAACTAAAAGGATTTTTAACGTGTTGTGTAAAAGAAAACTCCATAAACTAGCTAACTTATAAACAAAAGAAATTTGTCTCTCACAGGTCTGGAGACCAGAAGTCCAAAGTGAAGAAGCTGGCAAATCTGATAAAGGCCTTAGCTTGGCTTCCCTCACTGAGTGTGCTCGCATGTGTTAGGAGGGACAAAGCTCCCAGGACCTATTCCACAACCTCTCCCATGGGGCTCTATTCTTATGATTCACACCCCCCCCACCCCCATCCCGCCGACCCCACACACTCCCAAGCTCCATCTAATGGTATCAACACTCAAGTTAGGAATTTAAGGAGATACAAACATTCCTACTGCAGATGCATGGCAGAGGAAGATGCAGAAGTCATGATGGGATGGAAGGAAGGCAGCATGCCCACAGATGCTCCCAGCTCCTTCCTTCCTTCTCTTGTGCACTCAGATGGCATCATTTTATAAAGGCTCCTGCAGTGAACAGGAAGCCCGCCTGGGTGGCACTCTTCATGGAATCTAGTTACTTAAAGCAGTTCTCTTGGGAAAATAAAAATGCTTGCAGAAGATTCTGTTTCTGGTTTATATTTATTAAGAATTTATCAAGGGGAGATAGGGAGAGGAAATGGTTTAAACTACAGAAATTAATCCCTCCTGAGAATTTATCTTAGAAAATTAAGCGTTAAAATGAGATCTGAACTTTTCGGATGTTAATACTCGTTTTCTTGGGATTTAATAAGGGACTTGATGCCGTTTGAGCTTAACATAAAAAGTTAAACACAAGATCAGATTTATCAAAAAGAGAAAGCCAAGTTGATGGCCCTTTCCCCAGCTGACTTATCAGGTTATCTCCCAAAATAATCAACTCCCTGTCTCACATAAGACATTTTTGTTACATTTTTTTTTATTTTTAATGTGTTTGTTACAATTTTTAAAAATGATTTGCAAATGGAAAAGCCCCTGATATACTTCTATTATTTTTTTCTATTTTTCATGCTCAAAATAAACACAACGGAAGACACAAACTCTCCAGGTGACAAGCGAATGAAAGCCCCAGACAGAATTTAATCAACAATTCTTACCTTGGGCACAAAAGACCGAGTATAAGGTTTGAATTAACAAGGGCTAGGCACCAGTAAGTCAACCCAGACAACAGCAGACGCTGTTCTCCTGTCAGCGTCTCCAAGAGTGAACTCTTCCTCCTCCTTCATTCATGTTCCCCTGTGAAATTCAAAGAGCACATCCACATGTGGCACTGAGAAAAAGGCAAGTAGTCAGCGCAGCCAGGGAGAGAAACAAACTATCCTAAGCTTAGCTCCAGCTCAGCCTTGGGATTGCCTGTTGTCTGAGCCCCTGCCCCTGTGAATAAGGGAAAGCATTTGACCTCTTTGTATGATAGCAGAGCCATGGCACTGAGAGCATCTCCCTCCCCATGCTACAGGTACAGTTAATGAAGTCCTCAGTTCACAGCAAATGTGCCCAAGCCTGCTGGAGGTCATTAAGTGGGAATGTCAAACACACCCCAGTCCACTGCTCTGTGAATTCCCCATGATTCCTCACAAAGCTCAAGTCTACTGTAGAGATGTCCATCTTAAAAGTACACATCATCACCTAAAGAACAATTTCCTGTGGCATTCCCAGTGCTGGGCACCACTGGGGTTAAACTGTTACCAAATAGAGCCATAGGTATAAGTACCTTCTCAGAGTCCCCCAGGTGAACTTAGGGCTACTTGAGGCCTGTAGCCTGGGAATTTGCTGCTGTGCACCTTGGGTGCATAGTCACCAACCTGTGTGGTTTGTTGGATGCTGCCATGGGCTTACAGGATGAAGACAGACTATGTGTCATTCCATGATCATCCCCCCATCCATGTATCAGTCCCCCCACAAACCATCAAATGGCCAGTCCCTCAGATGCTGGGGCCCAGATCCAGATGGAAAATGCCAACTGACGAAGCTTGGGCTCTGTCAGATAGGGTTGGTTCGCTTTCAGTTGTGGTGATCATGGATATAAAGGATTCTCTAGGATAGGTGAGGTTAAACCCTATGGCCACTGCTGTCTCGGGAGCTGGGGCTCTGGACTATGCCAGGACCAGAAACCAGCACCTCAACTCAACTTAACCTTTCTCCTTTCTTGCTGTCTGAAACAGACAGCAAACAGCAGGAGTCTACAATTTTCCCCTGTCTGAGGAAATTCTGACTTGAGGTCCTTGACCACCATCTATTTAGAAGCATAGCAGAGAGGCTAGATCTTGTTCCCTCCCACTGAGAGTCACTTCCAGATGAAATCTGGGAGCAGATGAAGAGACTGCAGGCATTCAGACTGTAGCTGATGTATGTGATATGTGGACGTGCGCACACACACACACACACACACACACATACACACACACACACCTGCACCCTCATGCACAGAGAATGAGGGCCTGACACTTGCCTGGGGGACTGGGACCGTCATAGACAGTCTTTGAAGCCCACTCCCATAGAGGACTCTCAGACATGACACTAGACGTGATCATTAGCTTACTAAGGACTAAAGCACAGGAACCTGGGTTACCTGAGGGATTTGGGGAGGTTATGAGATTCTTCTCTTTGTTCAAGGAACCATATTTATTTGGTAGAAATTTTTTTCATTTTAAAGAATACCAGAGATAATCCACCTATGCCCCAAGCCCCATGTCCTGACACATCAGATACAGAGACATCGACATCTTACACCTCCTTCTAACTGCCTCCTCTCCATTCCACCCCTGCCTGGACAGTCAATGGGAATCCCTGCTTTGGGTTCAAAATGTCTTGCTATTTTGTGACTAGGGATCTTTTTCCATTTCTTTTTTTCTGGGAATCTGACCACAGGGAAGCCTGCAAAGGGTAGGAGCGGATGTGGACCATGAGAGGAGTGAGGACTGAGTCTGTCATGGGAATCCTCAGAGACCTGGAGCAGGGGCACATGGGAGGAACTGAGGCTGCTCTGCTGTGTCTCTCTCTTCCCAGGCCCCAGAGTCAGCTCCAGCTCCTCTCACGGATCCCTGACCTTGCCTCCTCAGTTTCCCCCCAGATTTCCTGGGCCACTCATAATAAATGCCCAGTTTGCTTCCAAGTGCTCTGCCGTGCTTGGTGTTCTTCATTTCCATCTGGAGATCCTTCCCTAGTTCTGTCCTTTGAGATCCTTGCCTCACCAGGGATCCAGGATCCAAGAAACAACAGTAATCAAAGGAAGAACAGGCACTTCTGGGAAAGGTCTAGAAGCATCTTCCAAACCTTACATGGGAACACCTGTTATGAAAGGAACCCATTTTCCAAAACAGACTTTGCAATGGAGGTGAGGGGTAAGCGGAGTGGGAGTCTATTAGGGAAAAGGGGGTAAAGGGGACTCTATTATACTTCCTCCCTAGACTGTCACCCCATATCAGTGTTCAGATAACAGCTTTATGTAACTTGATTTTATCCACATAGAAACTGGATGTAATTTGGCATTTGGTGATTATGTGTGCTATGTACCATGTAACAACTTAATAAAAGCATAGAGAGCCTTGCAACAAGAGATTAAGTGGCCCAGAATCCACCCTTTAATCTTCCAAGCAGAACGTTCTAAAGGAGAGCCTACGAAATGGGCAATTATCAAGATGTCCTCCTTCCTCTCTACTGAAGGCAGAGATCCTTGCCAGCCCCAGGGCAAGGCTGTTTGTGTCCTGAAGCATAAATGACCCTCAAGCCAGACTTTCAGGAGCCTGACTTGGGGGAGAAATCTAACAGGTCATCTCATTCTTCTTCATTGTTTAAAAAAGCCTACTCCTTTCTGATGGGCATAAGATACAGCACGATCACTCCTGGGGGGAAACATTTAAAGGCAGGGGCCACCTACTGCCTGGGTGCCAAAGGGTTGCTATTTACACGTGCACCCGCTCCTCTGTGGCTCGTCTGTCATACTCTAGTCCTGGAAAGGCAAAAGAACATGGCGATTCAGAGCATGACCTCAGGTCTACTGTGCAACAAGGAGTCCTGTCGATCGTAGTCTTGGTCCTGCCATTGGCTACGCCATTGACTATCCATGTTGCTTTTAGCAAGGCATCTGGTCTCACTACCTTCAAAAGCAGAACTTAGTAAACACACCATCCCTCGAGGGTTAGTGTCAAAGTTAAACAGTGATTCGTTTAGTGCATGGGATGCACTTGGCCAGCTCTTGACTCTGTGTCTGAAACACAAAAGGAAGAGGGGAAAGCTGCCACCATGAGAGCAGAACCCAAGCTCCCCAGCCTCAGTCTCATCCACAGAAATCCAACTAGCAACTCACAGGCAAGCATGCCACTTTTGAAGAAAACACAGCTATCATTCGGGGCATGGATTAAGAAGGGAAACTAAGTGAATAAAAAATGATGAGCACCTATGGCCACATACCGGACCATACTTCAGCATTCTAGACCTGCCTCAGCATCTCCTTCAACATTCACATACAAGTACACTTGGTAGCGACTACTCTGGAGGGTCAACAGAAGTAAGGAAGGTAGCGGGGTTAGCATGGGAAGGCAGGGCCTTGCTCAGGATGGAAGCCCAGTGCGTGATTGGCTTTCCCTATACTGAGCAAATGCTGGGTTTCCTTCTCCTATAAAAGACGGATATAAAAATAATACATTGTGTCTACTTCATAAAGAAACATGCAGAGTGCTAAAGAGTGCATGTTATAATAGCAGAGAGAGTCACAGAGAGCCATAGAACTAAGGACAAATTGAGGGGACTCGTTTGAGTCAGGAAGTGGTAGTCCAGGTGGCATGTGGAGACCCAAGGCAGAGGCTGTGGTCAAGGAGCCCAAAGGTCTCCTACATAAAGAGGGAGGAAGGTGTGGGCCAAGGAACGTGAGAACTGGCAGGCGGATGCTATCAGTGTTCCAAAGAGCAGGGTTGGGGGTGGGGGCGTTCTCAGAGTTCCTCCCTACCTCCTCCACACTTCCTAGCTACTTCAGTGACAGCAGGAGATGGAAACTGCTTTTATCAAACCACAGTTACAAACAGTACTTAAGCTGCTTACTTACATGAGATAGTAGTTAAAAATATCTCTCCTCACACAGTAAGTGTTTCTTCAGAGGGTAGCTTGGTCTTTCATGGATAGAATTTGTTTCAGAGATAAAGTCTTCCTATGACAAAACATATCCAGCAATTGCATTACCCAAGACATAATAAAGATTGGTAACACCCAGACATATGGCCTTTGGTGTGCAGCTTCTATGTACCCTACAAATGGGGTCTAGTTGTGTGTGTATGAGCATGCATGTGAGTGTCCCTGTGTGTGCATTCCCTTCCCTCTTCCCATCTTAAGGAGATGAACTTTCTTTAGGTTGGGAAATATGATTAAGCCAGAGCTCTTCAGAGAGGAAGAACAGAAAGTGGCCACTCCCATGGGTATCATGACCAATACCACTAACAAGTGTCACCTGGCCACTCCTATGGGTATCATGACCAATACTACTAACAAGTGTCACCTTGCCAGGCAAGGGTATAGGCTAGACTGTGTGGCATGGTCAGCTCTAGCAGCTGAGGGCTCTTTTGACACTTCACTGGGATGCCTTTAAATTCAGCTCAAGATCACCAAGCTGTGTGTCTGTAGGAAACATTGAGTCCTGGGCACATCTACCATTGGATCAGAAATGCTCGCTAAGATCACAGAAAACATTAATAGCCCCAAACACCATATTAAATGCCAGACGCCATCTCTTCTAGATGCTGGCCCTCCAGAGGCTCTCACACAAGTGCTTCCCTCTGTGTGCTGGGACAGAGGATGAGAGCATACATGGCCCATTGGACTGCTCCCAGGACCTCTGCCCAGGGTGCTGTGCTCACATTAATCTCCTCCGTCCCTTCCTCAGGGAACCTGCCCAGAACTCCCAGCCACACAGATACCCACCTGGTCAGGCTCATCCTACCATGTTCTCTCCGAGGTGAGGGTTACAATCTCACATTATTTCTATGGTTATTTCACTAATATCCATTTCCCTCACTGAACTTCAAATTCCAGTTCCCACACTTATCAGCAAGGATCTAGTTTCTCCAGAACACCTAACCTTTAGGTGGGCTCTGTGGGATGTCAGAAGGCTGTGTATCCTCTCGTGGAACTTCTGCCACACGGACTGAGAACAAGGCTGGAACCTGCCCAACAGAGTAAATGGAATGGAGTATTATGCAGCTATGAAAAAGAACGATGACCTAAAGCACTTAAAAATATGGGTTGAAACTTAACCAGAAAATAAAATGGTACACTTATCATTTTCATGCTGGCATCACACCTACCTGTGAGGAAAGTGGGAATACCAGCAACAACACAGCAAAAACATGCTGTGCTTGGTGCCTGCCCATGTCCAGCTCTTCTTTGGACTTCATTAGTTCTTAGGAATTCACTAATGAGCAAACCCTGCTTCCTTACCCTCAAATTGTATTTTAAAGACTTACTCTCAATTGTCTTCTGCCACAAAGACTTTGTTCTACATCTCATCACCATCTGGCCACTCAGAGCCCAAACAAAAGCAGGAACCTGATAATGTTTTCCAGCTTCTTCCACACTGTGCTTTCTCCCTGCCTCCTCTGTGCAGAATACTGAGGCCTTCCCACCCAAGTCCCCACTCTTCTTAACTCCCAACCACTCACCCTGAATGAACTCCATTGCTGATTTCTCCAGGAGTTCTTCTGGAGCTGAGCCCACACCTATGGAGGCCAGCTGACCTGTACTGTTCATTTCATAACACTTCTGAAAGTGGACACTGGCCCCTGCTGGTTAATGTGTCCCCTAGACTGAAACCCAGGCTGAGATTCTGGTTAATATCTAGTTAATATCTCATCTAAACTTAAGTGTGTAATCCTAGCCCTGAGGAGACTGAGTTGGAAGGATCATGAGTTAGAGGCTAGCCAGGACTATACAGCAGGAACCCTGTCTCAAACAAGACAAAAATAACACGCATTTCAGCTCATAGTAGGTATTGAATACCACAGTGGGTTTTTCAGCTCACAATAGGTATTGAATACCATGGTGGGGTTTAAAAGTATTGTATGAGGAGCTGGAGGAGTGATTCCGTAGCTAAGAGCGTTTACTGCTCTTACTGAGGATCTAGGTTAATTTCCCAGCATGCACACCTTCTGCCTCACAACCACCTTCAACTCCAGTGCCAGGGGATCCACTGCTGCCCTCCACAGTGTGCGTGCACAGTGCAGAGTGCACAGCGCACAGACATACACTCGGGGCTCATAAAATGAATCTTTAAGAAATGATACGGCAGGAGAATTTAGGATGTTCACAAGGACATCGAGAGCAGACAGACAACTGTCCATCGGCAGACTCTGGAAGCCTGGAGTAGTTGGTGGGACTCCTATGCTAATGACCCCAGGCATCTCTGCCTGTGTGTAGTTCCCTCCCATCATTCTCCCTTCACATCCATCTCTGGAGCAAGCATGCTCAGAGGTCCCTAAGAACATGAAGCCCAGAGAAGGACTGAGTCCACACATCTACTGCTGACCCAGGAAAGCAACGCGCAGCAAGGAAAACAACTGTACCTTCAATGCACAGCCAAGTTTCAGAAAACATTATAGACATCCTTTCTGCCCTCCCTAAGAATCATGAGAATGACAGCAAGTCTTTAAAAACAGCCGCCAGCTGGACACACAGGCCTTGAAAATACTATGGCTGCATATAAGGACTAGAGGCCTGCCACCCCACCTTTTCTATGATTCTCCTCATCTCAGACAAGAGTAGTGAAGGCCGGTGACATGCTGCAGAGGGGGAGATGGGAAGCAGGGCTGTCCTTCTTCCCTTTGAGACTACATTTCTCATTCTGGTATTCAAAAGGCTTTGTACATCTCCCATTAAACCTTGGGCTGAAAAACCTACAATTCCGTCTATCATATGGCCCCGAAATACCACTCCTTAGCATAGGCTCAAAGGATTTGGCATCCTACTCCATGGACACTTGCTCAGCAACATGTATTTCCAGCTCATTCACAGTAGTGAGAGATAAAAGAATAAGGGAAATGGGTACATATATACCATGGAATACTATTCAGTTGGAATGAAAAAATGAAATCATGGAATGTTCAGGTAAATGGATGATGGCACTGGAAAAGATTATATTCAGAGCGGTAACCCCAGACCCAGAAAGACAAACATTACACACGTACTCTCTTATCAGAGGCTCCTAGCTCCCAATGTCCAGATGTGAGTGTGTGAGTAACTACAGAAACCATAAGTTATAAGGCACTGTGGGAGGTGTGGAATCGAAAGAAAGAAAGAAAGAAAGAAAGAAAGAAAGAAAGAAAGAAAGAAAGAGAAAGAGAGAAAGAGAGAAAGAGAGAAAGAGAGAAAGAGAGAAAGAGAGAAAAGAAAGAAAAAAAGAAGGGGGGGGGAGGGAGGGAGGGAGGAAGGGAACAACCAAGCAACCAACCAAGCAGGCAGGCTGAGCAAGTCATGGGGAGCAAGCCAGTAACCGTCACCCTTCTATGGCCTCTGCATCAGCTCCTGCCTCCATGTTCCTGGCCTGTTTGAGTTCCTGTCATGACTTCTTTCACTGATGAACAGTGACATGGAAGTGTAAGCCAAATCAACCCTTCCCTCCCCAAGTTGCTTTGGTCTTGGTGTTTCATTCAGCAATGATAACATTAACCAGGATGAAAATCATGTAGGAAGAGAGCTTGGGGGTGCTGCTGGGAGGAGGGTAGTGAGAGGCAGGTGACAGGAGAGCACAAGGGTTGTTGCAGGATATGGAAGGGGACTGGCAAGGAGTTAGATGAGTGTGGGGGGAGGGAGGAGTCTGGTACAAGAAGAACAAAATATATATGAAAATGTCATAATGAAATCCATTACTTGTTATCTTAAAAACCTTAAAATGCCCTTGGGCCCCTCATCCCTGCAGGCCCAGCATTGCCTGCCTCCAGTGTTAAGCTCACAGAGTCGCAAGAGACGCTTCTCCTGCTCCCCTGTGGGGGGCTGGTCTTACTGGTGGCTGTGAAAGAGCAGTCAGAAGGAAAGGACAAGGTATTTTAGTCACCAGGGTTCCAGACATCTGTCTCTGTGACCAGCTAAGCTTGTTACTTAAATAAGCATAGTCCAGTTAGGTCCGAAGTCACCTGTTTAGAATGACTGGGCACACTGAATTTGCTGCCTCATCTGAGATGGCTGAATGCCTTCTTCTTACTGCCCTGCCCTGCCTCCACTGACTGAACATTCTGGAACCCTCTTCTGCCTTTTAAGTCCCCACTGTACTCCCACAGTTATCCCCAGATCCTGGACGCTGGGACCCAACAGTTCCCCACAAACTGATGGAAGCTGACAAAGCTGCTGTCTTCTTACCACCCATCCCCCACCCTCCACTGACTCAACCAGCAACCAGTCTTGTTCAGAGCCCACATGAAGAAGCCATTCTCCTCATGTATTCTCCAAAAGTATCTAGAAATTTCTGCTTTGTTGAAATCAGTGTGTGTATGTGTGTATGTATGTGTGTGCGTGCATGTGTGCACATGTGTGTGTCTGTGTGTGTACATGAGTATGCACATGTATTTTTACTCTGTGCTATGTGGCAAGAGAATAGGAGAAAATGTGTTAGATGTTAAGTTAGTCTCCATTCCAGGCGTGGTAAACAGGTTATCAATCCGAACACTCTCTCACACTCAATGTCCAAGCCCAGTTCATTCCGATTGACTCAGTAAACACGAGGCAATTCTTACAGCAGCCAAAACTGAGGATGAGCTGCACAGTTACACAAAGACGCTCATCTAAGGGGCGCTGACTGGATACATAAATGCAGATGCCGTCTGACGAGTTCAGAAGCAGCAGGGTCCCTCTGCTCCCCATGGGACTTAACTTCCATCTGCTCTGTGCCCCTTGTATTTGGACAACTGTGGAGAACATACCATCATCTGTGTCATGTTAAGCGGGATGGGGTTATGTTAACCTTCCTGTCTAGCTTGTGAGCCCCTAGAAAGTAGAGATGTGTTGTGATCATTGCAAATAGCTTCCCAAGAAGTTCATATGTATTTTAGCATCAGAAAATCCTGTCGTACTAATTCTAGGAGTTAGAGGGTATATCTAAACAAAGCACACACAGAGCCTTGGCTACGCCAGTTCCTGCAGCAGAGGAACTGTGGCTGAAGACAGATAGGCCTCTGATCATCAAAGTCCTCTTCACGATGACACAGTTTAAAGGTGGAATACTGCAGAGATCACACATCACTTAAGAGACAAGTGTCACTAGAGCCCACATCTCCAGGTCCTCCCTAGGCTCTAGGTCTCTGAATGCTGAACAATGCCTCCTAGTCGTCAACCTGGCAAACCTAGCATTTTCAAATCTCCTATACCACTTTCCAATACAGTGAATAAACAAAAATTGACCATATGTTATTAGCTTATTAAAACATTTGATCTAATTTCCTTAGTTTAACATTTTAATATAGTTGTGTTATCATTTCTAAAAATAACACTAAAGAGTTGATTGCTACTTTCTTATTCAACCATAAATTCAAGTATAATTCCTATTAAATTTCAAGGGCCATTCAGGGACTATTTAATGTGGGTCCCTCTGTGTGTAGCAATTGTTTCTGGAGAATGGGAATGTCTCATGTTCATCACTAACAATTCAGAGAAAAGCTGACCTGCATATGTTTCCTTCAATGCAGCTGTCTGATTTTTTTTTTCAGGGCCCCTTCCATGGAGTGAAGGTAGCTGACCTCTCTGCTGGTCTGCCTGAGTGTCAATCTACCCAAAACATAGGGCTTTGGCTAAACCCGGCAGACTCAGACAAGCTAAATTCGTAGTCATCACATTTAAGATACTGGCTGGCAAATATAAATCCCTACTTCAGCTCTCTAGACAGAGTCATATTCAAATGTTTTCACTACTTGCAGTCATGTAAACAAACCAAGAAACTATGCCTATGCAAATTAAATATGCATATTAACGGTGTTTATTGTGGATTGGAGTACCACAGACGATTTCCCAGACTCCTTTCTGTTGGTGTATAGCTTCTAAAATGTCTAGGGAACACTTTCATATTGTAAAACTAAAAACGTCAGTTTTAAAATCTATGACAGAAAACAATGGGTAGATAAATATTGTTAGTTTTGCAGACTGTTTATACCAAGCATCTGACTTTGTTTTGTGTTGGGGAGTGTGTGCGCATGTGTGTGTATAGGTGTATGTATGTGTGTATGGGTGTATGTATGTGTGCATGTGAGTGTGTGTGCATGTGAGTGTGTGTGTGTGTGTATGTGTGTATATGTGTGTGCAACAGAGGAAGGAAGATGTTGTGTGTCCTTCTCTATCATGCTGTACCTTATTCCCTTTGAGACAGGCTCTCTCACTGAATCTGAAGTTCACCATCATCTATTTGTTTGTTTAGTGGGCTAGTCTCTGTCTTCAACCCAACCCACCTCCACCAGTGGGGCCACATCTGGCAGTTTTCTATTGGTGCTAGGGTTCTGAACTCAGGCTCTCAAGCTTGTGTATCAAGGGTGCACTTTTATCCACTGGGCCAGCTCTCTAGCCTGTCTTTCTTTTCTTTTCTTTTCTTTTCTTTTCTTTTCTTTTCTTTTCTTT